GGGCCCACCCCGGCCGCCCCCCAGCTGCTCTATTGCAGGCATCCCCGATTCAGCTGCTGCTGAAACTGACCAGCAGCGACTGAATCAGGGACGCCTGGGGCAGAGCCGGACTATCGTAAGGGGAGGCTATGAGGGGTCTGGGGTGGCATCCCCTCCCACCCCACTCCAGACCCCTCATAGCCCCCCCTTCTGATAGTCCGGCATATCTGATAATCTGGCACCCCCTAAAGGTGCCGGATTATCGGAAGTTTACTGTACTTAGCTACTTAACAGGGGAGTCCTGAGGTTTAACTGTCAATATTTATGACGGCCCCATGGGCCATTGCTGGATAGCACGCTATAGGATGTAGAGATATTTATTATCCTGTTCCAAGTGGGCTAACACAGACCTCAAGAGGTCACCTAGTGCAGTGGCTCCCAACTTTTTTATACTGTGGACTGGCAAACCCATTCACAAACTTTTGGTGGACTGATAATGCTTTATTTGCATAGTTACATATTCATTATGCAAATAAAGACTATGCAAATGTGAAAATAAAATGTTATCAGTGCACCAAGAGCCCTGGTCCCCAGAGCCCCATCAGTGCCAACGCTAACCCTTAGAGCTCCCCACCCTTCTGCTATTCCCAGTGACAGATACTGACCCCCCCAAGTCCCCTGAACCCAATCCCCCCAGTGCCAACCTCTCATCCCAAATGCCTCAATGCTAGCCCCCCCAACTCCTTAGAGCCGCCCACCCCCTGCCCCCCCAGTGCCAGCCTCCTGTTTCCAGAGCCCCACTGCACCAAAATCCCCCAGAGTTCCCCTCATGCAAGTCTCCAATATGAGCCCCCAGTGCCAGCCCTGCCCCCAGAACACCCCAGTGCCAGCTCTCAACGCCACATGCCAGTGTTAGCCCACTGCCTCGTAGAGCTACCCACCCCAGCACTAGCTCCGCCCCCAGAACCGTCAGCACCTGCCCCGTCCCCCAGGTTACAGCTGCTCTAAGAGGCTGCTGTGCCAGGCTCCGTGCAGCTCTCCCACTGTGCAGTGAGCTGCTCTTCCATGTCCAGGAGGAGACCTCACCCCTGTCTGGCACTGGCTGGCTGAGAACACGCCTCCTCCAACAGTCCTGACAGGAGGGGAGGCGCTGGACAGTGGTTTGCAGCCCAGCAACGGTCCGCAGACCAAGGTTTGGGAATCCACTGATCTACTGCAACGCCTGCTCAAAGCAGGAGCAAACCCAGCTCAATCATCCCAGCCAGGGATTTGTCAAGCCCAGCCTTAAAATCCTCTGAGAATGGAGGTTCCACCACCTCCTTTAGCAACCCATTCCAGTGCTTCACCACCTTCTTAGTGAAATAGGTTTTCCTAATATCCAACTTAGACCTCCCCACTGCAACTTGAGACCATTGCTCCTTGTTCTGCCATCTGCCACCTCTGAGAATAGCCTTCCTCCATCCTCTTTGGAACTCCACTTCAAGTAGTTGAAGTCTGCTATCAAATCCCCCCTTCAACAGGTTTCCTTTCCTCTAGTTCCCAATAAAACTACCAGAACCAAAAGCAAAGAGAATTCCACCTGACCTACATACAGTAGTTCCTGTAACTACCATCCTTTCTGGGAACAAGAGGC